CACAACGCAGGATAATCATGTGGTTAAAGTTGGCCAATGAGATTTATTCAAATATTTTGGGTTGTTTTTTTAAATTTCCCCCCCCCCCCCCCCCCCCCCCCCCTCGAGCTTGAGCCCAAATATTGACGTTAAACAACTAATCAACTTTGAGCGGCCTAAGAAAGATAGTATTATTATATAGTAACCATAGCGCAATTTACTATAGTTTTGAAAGAAAAATTCTATATAATACAAAAGTTAAAATATAAACATTTAATGAGTTACTAAACCATTTTTTACACTATATGTAAAAATGGTTTCTCTACTAGTAAAAAAAATAGCCATGGAGGAAATGAAGATTTCATAATTATAATAAAGTTAATAGTAATTTGCGCATATAAAATACTATCCATCTTAGACGAATTAGCAATTAAATGCCTTTTTTTTTTAATTAATAAAGGTATTCAACATCGCGTTTCTTACATCCGAAGAAATCCGAAAAGAATATCGCGAAAGGAACGATGGAAAAGACAATCTCGTACAACCAAATGATGTATTTTTTTCCGTTCATGCATTTATCCTAAGCTTAATCACTTTGACTCAAACTTTCTACTATAAGGTATGTACGATATGTAGTTATTAACTATATTACCTAATATTCTCCAATCTTATTTTATGCAATATATTCTAAAATAAAGCGGGGTGCAGATCAAAATGTATCACCAATTACTCGTACTCTAATCGTCTGTTCCATTATCGGAATAGTACCCGTACTGATCGGAATCTCAATCGGAACCTACCAATGGATTGACTTGCTATATTATCTGAGCTACATTAAATTAGCTATAAGCCTTATTAAATATCTTCCACAGGTATATATTTTTCAATCTTAAAATTTTTCAAATTAACAAATAGGGACCCGATATTTCTACACCCCTAAGTAGGTCACTCTTTTTTAAAACTTTGATCGAAGGTATCTTGACAACTATATAACCAAATTCGATAAATTTTTTATTCGAATTCTGCAGATCTGTAGAATTCGAATAAAAAAAAGTTCATCTAAATTGTCGATCAAAGTCAAACCAAAAAATTTAGCGCAGCTATTTTGATAGATGCTTACATTTTTTTAAAGCTACAATCGAAAGTATTTCGGTAATCATCCAACCAAATCCAATGAATTTTTTTTATCTGAATTTTATAGAACTATAGAATTCAAATAAATCAAATTTGGTTAGATAGTTGTAGAGATATCTTCGATCAAAGTTTAGCCACAGCTAATATTTTAATAGGCGTTTAAAGCTTAGAAGTAGGGACCTGTATGCCTAATAAAAAGCATAGGCAAGGCACAAAAACAAAATCTTAGGCATGGGATAGTTATAGACACAAAATTTTGGCACGGGCATGAACACAGGCGCAAAAGTTCGGCATGGGCACAGATACAAAAATTTGGCCAAGAACTTTCCTAAGTATAGATGTAAAGTGTCAGGCATAAGTTGTCGTTTAGTGCTTGCCCGTACCCATAATGTGTCTGGCAATTTTGTACCTAGAGACACGGTTCAAGGTACTAGTGCTTGGCCTGATGCCTAATTTGTCTGGCATGGGCATTTGCAGATCCCTATCTCGGCTTGAATTCTACGGATCTATAGAATTCAAATAAAAAAAATTTGTTTGATTGGATGGTTTGTCAATAGTGATTTGAACCGAAAAATTTCCTTAATCGGTTAACCGAACCGAATTATTTCATTCAACCGGTTGCCAACTGGTTAAGATTAATATCTTTACTACCTTCGGAAATTCTCCCTCCTTACGTCATTTTCGTACTATATCGACCAGCCAACCGATTATCCAATTTTCAACCGGTTGTACCGGGTCAACCGATTAAAAATTTCTTAATCGAAGGTATCTCAACATCTATCCAACCAAATTTGATTAATTTATTCTATTTTTAATTCTGCAAAATCTGTAGAATTCAAATAATAAAAAAAGAATTTGTTTAGATAATTGTCGAAATATCTTCGATCAAAGTTTTAAAAAAGTGATCTATATGGGGTGTGGAAATATCAAAAAATGGTGTGGAAGTATCTTGTCCCATCAAATATTAATAATATTAAAAAATTTATTTTCTTCAATAGGTTTACCTAAATTTCCGTCGAAAATCTACAGTTGGATGGAGTATTTACAATATTCTATTAGATTTTACTGGGGGTACTCTATCAACATTTCAACTGTTTCTAGACGCTTATTTAACCGATAATTGGAGTGGTATTTCCGGTGATCTGGTTAAACTGTAAGTTTGCCTTAATTTATGATTTAAATTATTTTTATTTTTTATTAACCTTTTTTTTTTTTTTACTCTTTAAAACAAATCAGCGGTCTCGGATTCCAAAGTATAGCATTTGATCTAGTTTTCATGACTCAACATTATATATTGTATCGTAATAGATATGATGATGCGCTGATAAAAGAAAATACAATAGTTGATGCTATGACAGGCACTAGCCAAGAAAGAGAAAGATTACTAGAAAATAACGATATTAACTATGTATGAATATAATAATTATGCAATTAGACTATCCATTAATACATAACTAAAGTTTTGAAAATATAAATGTATAAAAACAATTAAGATACAAAAATAGATCAATATTATTTGTTAACATTAAATGTCGGGGATGATGATGCTGTAATTTGAATTTATTTTAATTTGAAATTTTAAAATTTTGGGGGGTTTTTCCCAGATATTTTCTTATGGTTGGATTAGGGTTTATAATTAAAAAGTATGGGTGGGTTTTAGTAGGATTTATATTTTTACATCATCCCCGACATTAAATATGATAAATAAACATGAATCACAAGAATTGTCCACAAAAAATTAGATATCACCAAAAATTATCGGTAACAATTTTTATCAATAGAATTTAATATTTTTACACCTTTAAACGAAGATATCTCGACAACCACCAAATAAAAATTTTGATGAAAATTTTTTTAATTAAATTTTACAAACTTTAAAATCAATATAAAAAAATTTATCGAATTTGGTTTGGTGGTTGTTGAGATATCTTCATTTAAAATTCGATAATAAATTAAATCATCTATTAAAATTCAAGTCGTAGTAGAATTTCTTAAAACTTTAAACGAAGATATCTCAACAACCACCAAGTGAAAATTTTTTTATTTTAATTCTACAAGTAGAATCAAAATAAAAAAAAATTTCATTAAATTTTGTTTGGTAGTTATTGAGATATCTTTGTTTTAAGTTCATTAATAAATTAAACCATCTATTAAATTCAAGTTGTAGTAAAATTGAAACAAAGTTATCTTGATAATCATCATCAAACCAAATTTGATGAAATTTTTTTATTTTGATTCTACAAACATGTCAAATCAAAATAAAAAAATTTCATTGAATTGGTTTGGTGATTGAGATATCTTCATTTAAAGTTCATCAATAAATTCAGTCAGGGGATTTACCAAATTAAGAAATCACGTTCTATGGTGCGCCAAGTCACTTCTCATCAAAAATCATGTTTATTTTAAAAATCTATAAAATCTTAAGGTTTAAATATT